CTAATGAACGAAGCCTGAATTTTTCCTGTTTTTCAAAGATATGAAAATTCTCCATACAATTGAGATGGATTGCCCAATGCAAAAGTTCTCCCATGCCAAAAGCATCTATGGTGTGATTAAAAACATGTACCTTGATGGTTGAGTGGACAAATTTCCTCCTGAAGAGCCCTTGTATTTACTCACAATTTTCTTAGTAATTTCTTCGAAAAGCTTGCCAAAATTCTTATACTGGGAGTTATAATTGGCCCCTCCATTTTCAACAAATTCCTGAGAACTGCACATTGCCAACAACGTCAATCACAAACAATTACAGTTTCAAGACCTCAACTTACCCATATGCTTACAAAACTTACTCCAGTTCAATATGGTGGCCCTCATTATCATCTTCCCCCAATGCATCAACCAAGAGTTTATCATTCACAACAAGGCACTTAACTAACACCTTCTTTGAATTTCTATCTGGGTGTGAATAGATAAAGGCATACTTGTCCTCAAAGTCGTTCCAGTGATCGATCCCCACCTCATCTAACCAAGCATTAGAAAAACACATAACCTTAAACCAACCCTTCAAATTGAAAAACAAAAACAGAACCCCTGGAATCGGGCAATCGGATTGTGAAAAAAACTTGTTATAGAGGAGATTTACCGCCGTGGGATGAAGAGAAGGGCTCATCGGTGAAGGCAGGAGCGCCGGTGGCGAGGAGAACAAAACCAGAAGCAACAAAGGAAGCATGGACGGCGAAGGCCAGTTTATCGTGGGGGTTTCGGAAGCTGGGCCTCGATGCCCTAATCATCATCATCGCTATGTTGCTATTCGTTTCCATGGGAGAAAATTTCGCGATTCCAGTGCCGGAATAGTTCCCTATGTTCTCTAAGCGTCGTCAAAACCTCAGTCCTCACCGATCGACCGAACAATGGAATCACAGAGGACGCTTCGAAGTCTAGGATGGGTTTTTTAGTAAAAATTTTAAAAAAGACATTTTATCTCAAAATCAACTTGAAATATGAGAGGTGTTTGGAAATGATTAGCTTATGGATAAAGTGATTTCTACAAAAATTTAAAGCAAAAATACCTCATACCTGCTTCTCCAAAGGACCGTGTTACAATACACCCGCCCCTGTCTCCTTTGCTGTCTACTTATTTAAGCTTTTTTTACCTTTTCTCTTTCTTTTTTTTCTTTTTTCTTTCCTCTACGACCTGTTTGCAGGTCGCCGCCGACCGGTTCCCCAATCCTTCGCCGTCGACCTGTTCCCAGTCCCTCGCCCCACCCTTCGCCGGCCTGTCCCTAATCTCGTCGGCCAGTTACCCTACCCTTTCCCGTCGACCTGTTCCCAGTCCCTCCCCCACCCTTCGCCAGCCAGTTACCCTTCGCCGTCGACCTCTCCTTAGCCACCGACCCAGCCTCTTCCTTCGCGGCCGACCAGCCACCACCACCGCCGCACCCACCCTCAGCTACCCCCCTCAATCCACTGCTTCCCCCCCCCCCACCCTTGCTCCGTCACCGGCCTTCNAATTTTTGTGTTATAATTTTTTGAATTTTTGTGTTATACATTTTTTGAATTTTTGTGGAGTACATAGGGTATTTGGTGATTATGGACTTACAAACATGTATTGTTACATATGTTGAGAATGATCAACCACGTGATTTTGGTGGTGAAGAAGAAGACCTGGTTTATATGACTTGCAGCCCAGTTGTAAGTGTTGATATTTAGACCCCATTCTATATTCATTTGGAGTAGTGAAAAAATACTGTTTTGTTTTGGTGTTACAGAGATTAAAGTTCTGTGAACCTAGAGTTTGTCCTTGTCACAGATGCTAATAATCTGTATGCACTCTGCATTTGGTGTATTTTTGTTTTCTTCATAGTCAGGCATTGTATTATATTAAACGTGCTGTTTTTTTGCAGCTTTTGAACCAGATTTGCTTCTTAACGATCCTTGCTTTCAATATTTATTTAACGACGAAGGGGCTAGAACAGGCGAGTGGTGAGATCGAACAGAACACATATGACATTAACAATGATGTCCAGAACAATGGCCAGTGTTCCACTCAAAGCCAACAATGCAATTGGGATGTGAAGCTAGAGTAATTGCGTCATGTAACAAATATGATAACTTTCTCTGAGTTCCATGCACATAAATTGATGTAAACCTGATGCAACTCTGTCTTCACATACATTAAGTCTCTGTGAAGTGTGTGACATAAACAGTTATTCCATATGAGCACCATGAAATCTAATGTATGGGTTTTAATTTTCTTTTTACCTTTACAAGACCCCCACATATGTGATAAGATTCTGAAGATGGTGTATGTGCATAAAGTTATGTAATTCTGTCGTCACATACATTAAATCTCTGTGTAATGGGTAACATAGACAGTTATTCTCTGTGAGGGCTCTGAAAGTAAATCTGAAAATCAGTCATAAACTAATGTAAATCAGTCATCACATACATTAACAAATTGTGCATTAACAAGTAGAAATTCATGATTATAAAAGCCCCATTACAAAGCTTTCAAAAAAATCGAAAGTGTTTTCCCAAAAAATACATTACAAAGCTCAAAAATCATTACAAAGAGTTTCACAAAAATTAAAGACTCCTAAAATTGTAAAGTAAAAAAGCTAAATATTAGTTCTTTTCCTTCCACACCATAACCTAGCTGCAAATTGACATCGGAAATCAGCCATATGTTCAGAACTGCAGTCCGGGCTTAATGGTAAGCCCACCAACAAATACTCTAGAAATGCTAGCACCATCACTCCACAATTGTCATACTTGCAAAGAAAAATAATATTAAAATAAGTAGGGGTGTATGATTTTCACGAGTCCATGGGAGTACCATAACGAAATAAAGACGAAAATGTAGATTATGAAGTTGCATTAACAGAAGTTAAATATGTACACGGACAATAATCATATATGAAGTTCAATAAATAGAAGTTAATCGTCTATGAAATACAATTCACAGAAAGCAAGCAAAAATAACAAGCAGACCTCTTTCACAGACAATAATGTTATATGAACTTCAAATAACAGAACTTAACCATCTATGCCATACAATTCACACAGTAAGCTAAAATAACAAGCAAACCTTTTTCAGAGACAATAATCTTATATAAACTGGACCCTTGAACAGCCCATAATTATTACTTTTTAAACCATGGTTAGGGCATATGGTCTTTGATACTTTAGAACTCTCCGAAAATCATTAATTACTACGGAGTATTTACTAAAGATGCTAAAATTCCAATGTAGAATAAGATCCAAGATCTGAACCCCCCCTAGGGTTTATATCAATTTTAGAAACAGAGAGATCAAGAAAGAGACCAAGGAAAGGGAAGTTAGCGTCAGTACCTGTTCGGAGGAGTGGGGCTGCCGGCGCTGGAGCTGGAGGGGTGGGCCTACCGGCGGAGGGGTGGGGCTGCCGGCGCAGCTGTGCTCTCGACGGAGAAGAAGGACGTGGAAGGAGTTGTCCGAATTCTGTCGCTTGTGGAAGTTGAAGTGGGAGAAGGGAGATTTGGGAATTTTGGGGAAGAAGATGGGAGAGGAAAAGACTATGAAAAAAGGAAAATTGAAAAAAAATTAAATATATTGGGTGGCATGCTTGGAGGCACACGTGGTGCCTCTTTAGCATTCTCCTTCTCCAAAACAGTGTTCCATGTACAAAATAATGTTTGTGAAAAGCAGAAGCTGACATGCCAAACAGAATAAAATCACTTTCACTTAAAGCAGAAGCTAAATTATTAAAAGCAGCGCACTGCCAAACACCCTCTGAGTTTTGAACAAAGGTTTTGATGACCGAATTCAAATTTGACTGAACTGGAAATGACCCGCTAAAAATGTGTCAAATTCGATCGAACCCGAATCCGACCTGACCAACCCGCTAAAGTAAGAGTTTTTTAAAATCATACACTTTACTACTCGTTTTTAATATATAAATTTATATTTTCAGATAAATTTTAATGATATTACATATTTGTCTTGTTTTTTTCTAAAACTTAAGCATTTTTAAATTCCTTGTATTGATTTATATATCTAAAAAATATTAGGATTTAAAATAGAATAATCTAATAGATTTAATACATATTTTTTTATATTTTAAATTTATTTAATAGAAAACGTAAGTGTTGATATGAATTTAAAAATTTTAAAAACCAAAGTCATAATTCATTGGGTCGACTCGAACCCGATGATACTGAGTCATTAACATACAATTCTCAACTCAAACCTGAAATAACTCGAACTCGACCAGACCGAACTCGAACCCGACCTGACTGATTCGCAAGCTTTGGTCAGTATTATATTTTATTTTTTCTGATTGAAACAAATTTTGATCTGATCTGAATGTAGTTATATATAAAATTATTTCTGATCTGATTCAAATAACAATAAATAATACGGAGTAAGTAAAATACTTGTAATTAGTTGAGAAGAACATGGCTTTAGAACTAATATTGGTTTTGATCTTGCTTGGTGTTCCACTTGGTTTTGATCTTGCTTGGTGTTCCACTTGGTTTTGATCTTGCTTGGTATTTGATTTGATTTTAATAATAATAAGTGATAAGCTAAAAAAATAAATTGAACGAAACGCAACCAGTAATCTAATTATAGTTATATTTAAAATTGTTTATGATCTGATTCCAATAATAATAAATGAAAGAAAGTAAGTTTTTCCTCGAAAATGAATAAATCAACTTTCATTTTCATTGAACAATGGACAAAATTACAACAAAAATCACATGGAACCCTGGTACTACATAATTTATAATCCTCCCTCAAGCAGTTGCTTTCATACACAATCTAAAGATACTATCTTTAGCTTAATAAAGGAAAATGCTAGGGGTACACCAAAAGTGTACCCCAAACATCCCCCACCCCCTCCATCACCGCACAAAAAAGCAAGAAAAATTCAAAAAAAAATTAAAATTAAAAACAAAATAAAATGAATGGTAAAGAGAGGGGTGGTGTACATTTGGGGTACACCTTTGGTGTACCCCTAACATATCCCCTTAATAAACTTAATAAATGCACAAACAAGAAGAAGAAAACATCATAGTACACACTTCTTAACCAGCCAAAAATCAGTCCACCGTCCGAAACCCCAATATGGCTTTCCGGATTGATTCAGAGCAACTCCCCGCAACTCCCGAACCAACCTGGACAGTCATGGTTGGATCCGATTAGATATTGTTACATGTTTTATTATTTACTTCCCTTATATCTGACCATTATGACTTTTGAAATACATCAAAATGTAAGATGAATGAATATTGTCATACAGATGTCTATATTCATTCATTTATTGAGAGTATCACAAAAGTCATAATGGTCAGTTAATTGTTAATGGTTCCATCGCCTCCATTCAGCAAAGAAGGATGTGACAGTTTCCCATTCAAGCGGGAAGTGGAGACGCGGGTGGCCTCGGATACAAATCGGCATCTCTTCTTGGATTACCCGAGTCATTCAAGTCGTGAAGTTGTTCCAATTCCTTGACCACGTCTGCCATTCTCGGCCGGTGTTTTGGATCAATTGATAGACACTTGACCGCGAGAAGGGCTGCCCTGAGTGCCACGGTCAACGAGTATTGACCCGCTATGCGTGGGTCCATAACCCGAAGGATCTTACGCTTGTTTCCGAGGTACGGCTTGGCCCACTCTATGAGGTTGTGCTCCCCGTTCGGACGGTTTTTGTCCATTGCCCGACGGCCCGTCAGAATCTCGAGAAGTACGACCCCGAAACTGTACACATCGCTTCTCGTCGTTAGATGGCCTTCAATATCAAGAGTAAAATGGTTGTTAGAACTTAGAACAAATGTGGCAGACACGCCTTAAGGGCATGTTTTCGATGGATGGTTTTGGAAGGGAAGGCTTTGGTCCATCGCTAAGCCCTCCAAACCCCTCCATCCAAAAGCGGTTCTAAGGGTCAAGGATTATTTTTTATATTCTAACACGCTTCCTCAAGTGCAGACGATCAAGGTTTGTTTTAAACCAGCTGTAAATGGCAATATATTTACCTGTGGCCATGTACTCGGGAGCGGCGTACCCATACGTCCCCATCACTCTAGTCGAGACGTGACTCTTTCCATCGGCGGGCCCATCCTTGGCCAATCCAAAATCAGAAAGCTTTGCGTCGTAATTCTGTCATTTCACCAAATTCAAGACCGTAAAAAGTGGGGAAATGGACGGCAAAATGTCAAACTGGTCAAAAACCGTACCGAGTCAATCAAAATGTTCGACGATTTGAAATCGCGGAATATCACTTTAGCTTCTGGGCTGTGAAGATATGCGAGTCCCCTGGCTGCACCTACAGCGACCTTCATTCGAATACTCCAAGATAGTGGTTGGAAGTATGAACTCCCTATCATTAAGTGACAAGTGTCAGTGAGCTAACTCAACCAAAAACTCGAGTTAGTAGTTAAAGATCCAAGAATGTTTTAATAATGCTCTAACAAGCACAAAACTCACTTCTGAATAGATGATTCTCCAAACTTCCCCGAGGCATGAATTCGTAAACCAGCAGCCTGTGTTCATCCTCCAAACAGTACCCAATCAATTTTACAAGGTTAGGATGCGATAGTTGACCCAGATAAGTGATTTCTGCCTGTGAAACACAATGACGAATAAACGATTAACAGCTTGCAAGAATATTATTTATGAAAATTCAATCATGCTCCTCACATTAATATAAGGCATCAAAGACAAGTTTTTGTCTTGCAGAAACAATAATATATCTTTGTTTATGCAACAAAATGGAAAGTACCGATCCTAAATTATGATGAAATGCCAAATTATGCAACAAAAAATGGAAAATACCAATCTAGATTATGCTGAAATCGCCAATTATGCAACAAAAAGGAAAGTATCAATCATAAATTATGCTGAAATGCCCAATTATGCAACAAAAAATGGAAAGTATCAATCTCAAATTGCAAATAAAAGTGTACCTACTTACTCACCAACCATTCCTTATGACCTTGAAAGCCATCTTGATTGAGCCTCTTGGCAGCAATGACCAAGCCCGTCCCTGGCCGAGCTGCCTTGAAAGTGTTCTCATCAATCCATCCCTTAAAGACGCACCCAAACCCGCCTTCACCCAACACACTGTCTGGGCGGAAGTTCCGCGTGGCTATTCTTAGCTCATTGAAACTGAAGTTTTTGAGATTGGATGACTCCAAAATTTCACTTTCTCCCCGAGGCGTGGGCGTGTTCAATGACACTGAGGCCGACGAAATCCTGCTACTTAAACCCCCGTCTCCTGCTAACAAAACATAATACAATAAAATAAAATAGATTTTCTTAGACAAGTAACCATTGTATAGTAAGCATTGTGTTCTAGGTCTAGTGTTTAGTGTGGGTTTGTGTGCTTCATGTCTCTGTGTTCCTACTTTACTCTTACTTAGGTTCGTGCTATTGTGTTGTTTTCTTTGTCTGTTTACTTTGTTTGTTCATTTGCATTTGAGTCGAGGGTCTCTTGGAAATAGCTTCTCTACTTCTGAGTAGGGATAAGATCTGCGTGTACACACTTTCCTCAGACCCAACTGTTGCGGGATTTTACTCTTAATGCTTACAATTACAATGTAAATAATGGTCATCTTGCTCTTAGCTGCGGTTTATACTAATTCTTTTCAAATCTGGGAAATCTTAGATTTTACTGGCATTTTCTTAGTACCAAATGGAGACTGCTTAGATCCAAGTCTTACAAACCTGCTATACAAACATTCTTAGGTTCCCTTCGGCAACTAGCATAAAGGCAGCAATTTCTGTTGAATGGCAAAATAAGTGGATTTTTGACAATTCTTTTGCTGAAATTGATGTCAGCAGCCAAACAAGTTTTTTCCTAAACTAGCCTAAAATTCACAAAACTCCCTTTTTTCCCAAAAAAAGACCTGAAAAGGGAACAACTTTTTCCAACCCACTTCAGATAAATCAAGCAAAAAATCCCAAATTCAACCATTGCATGCAAGTGTGACAGTAAACCAGAAAAGCCATATTATATCATATTCACAAACTCATAAACACTGTTGCTATTGCAATTCTGCAACCACTGCTAGAAAAGCTGATGAACAATAAGGGTATAAAAAAGAGGCTTAAATTGAAGACATTGAAGACAATTACCAGCATGATGAGGACTCTCTGCCTTGATTCTCACACTGAAACAAGAACCCATATCCAGAAATGGACCAAAGCTTGAATCTTTATCTTCTTTTTCAAGCAAGAAAAGTGCCCTTTCCTTCTCTCAACCCCTATATATAGAACAGTCTTAGTAAAAGGATTGACTCTTTAATTCATAATAATAGATTTATAATAAAAGGGGAAAATTTAAATATATAAAAAAAATCAAAAGCCCACAACAAACAGATCAAAACAGTGATGCAAATATGAATAAATTTTTAAAGAAAAACATATTTTTTTACAAGAAAAAGGAGATAAATTTATGACACTTGCCTGATTTGGAAATGGGTGGCACTTGTTTTCAGTTTGGGCTCACGAGAATCACTTGACAGAAGCCCAAAAATAAAAGAACAAGAAAAATGGAACCTTTGACTTTTGGGTGCTTGCTTCTGGTTAATCTACTGGTCTTCTCCTCCTCCTTCAACACTTTGATATACGTATTTAATACTATCAAATGGGCGCATAAAGATACGTATCTGCTACGGAGTATATACATACGGCGGGTACACGTGTGCGTACAAGAGAAAAAAGAAAAGAGGAAAACGGGAAGAGTGTGAATGGAGGAATTAAATGGCCATATTTGGGGTCTTCGGTTCTTTGTTGTAGTTTGCAGAGCAGTTCATTAAATGCGGAGTGGGTTTTTGATATTTGTGCTGATTGTGCAGAAACCGACAGGGGTACAGCTACTCTCACCCATTGGATTGGCATCTTTTTACTTTTTGTTGGATTTGAGAAAATAAAAAAAAAAGAATCACCACAAAGTCAATATAGATTTATCTCTCTAAAATTTTTTAATCATCAAAACAAGAGCACTGGAAATATTCATGAAATTCAAAGGCTTCAAATAGGGCTTCAAACCTTTTTTTTCTGTCACGTTAGCATTAACATACCTCACAGTTTTGGTAGAAATGGGTTTGAAGCCCCAGGGCTTCAAACCTTCATTTTTTACATTTTAAATACACATCTTCTAAAATTTAATTAATAAATTTAATTATTTAATTATTTAAAAGAATTGAAACGAGAATAGTTCATTAAAAAATTGAATTGATTATAAAAAAATTACATTCATTAAAAATTACATTAATGAAAAAATAAATAAAATACTTGAATAATATTTTTTAAAGAAAGATGATATCCGTGTTGATTTTTTTAAAAGAAAAAAAATTGATTCAATTTATAGAGAAGGAAAGAGGAAGAAAAAGGGAGAAAGATTTTTTTTATTTGTGAATAGCTGTTGTTGGGGAGAGGGGGGCTCCAAAGCTTTCAAGCCGCATCAAAACTTTGACGTAGCAATTTTAACGAGACAATAACGGAGGAGGGGGTGGTGTTTAACGCCCCCTCTACGTCAAAATGTGCATAAAGGTGGTGGGCGTCATGCCCATTACCACTCGTCTAAGAGTATTGTACAATATGACATCATGTACTAATACCATATTTGGACTATGGAATAGTATTTTTTGATATTATATAGGCAAAAAAGAGGAATGTATGAGTAACCATTGAAAATATAGTAAAATAGGAATTCCATATTTTTATTTTCAATATAGGAGTTCAAATATATTTACATTACCAATCATAACTATGTATATTATCGAAAAATATAGTGAAATATTCATGTACAATGTCACATTACCACACTGCAAACTTATACTGTATTTAAGAAATAAAAACATGACTGCTATTTTAGTATTTTCTCAATATTTTATTCTTATTTAAAGAATTACCACAAGGTCAATATAGATTTATGAATTTATCTCTGAAATAGGAGTGAAATTTTTTAATCATCAAAAAAAGATTATTGTACTCTCTGTCATATATTAATGAGTAATTTACCTAAATAATATTAAAACATAATGACTTTTTCACTATAGAACCATATATTTTTATTTCCCAATGTAAGACCATTAGTCATTATCAATTGGTCATTATTCAACTAAATGTGCAGCATCACTTGGACATTATTCTTCTCACTAGTCAGTATTAAGTTATATTTAGGAAATAAAAAAATTTAAGTCCTACATTAAAAAATAAGTTATGTTTTAGTCCTATTCAGTGCAAATTTCACTATACTAATACCATTTATAAGGAGTCATATTTTTTTATATTATATAGTGAAAAGATTAAAGTATAAATAATCATTGAAAATATATCAAAATAGGAGTTTCATATTTGCATTCCCAAAATAAAAGTTAAAATACATTTACATTATTAATCATGATTATGTACGTAGATTACCAAAAAGTATAGTAAATACTCATACACAGTATCACATTATCACAGTACAAACTTCTATTTAGAAAATAAAAACATGACTTTTATTTTAGTATTTTATCTATGTTTTATTTTTATTTAGGTTAATTTCTTTATTAGATATTAAAAATATTAAAACATTATATGTCTTATTTTAAATTAAAAACACTAATATCGTATTTTGTTTTTTTTCCCTATATTTTACGTCTATGTTAGTTTTTCTTCTCTTTGAGAACGATGATAAAAGGTCGGTCATTGAGCCGCTTCAACGTTAAGCTTTGTCATTTAATTTTGATAAAATTAACTATTTTAAAGTTACTCTTTACTATTGACAAATTATCCAAACAAGCTTCTTGATACAAATAAAGACTTTCTTTTGCAAGTTGAGATGTTTGATTTGTACCAAAAATGGAATTCTATTAAAACATATAATTATGTTCACAAATCATTTACAGTTTTAAATTTTAGAAGAGAAATTGTTGAGATTAGTTTGGCCAAAGATAAATGACGATAATTGATAGGAGTACGGTTTGAGAAATATCAAAACATGGAGGGCTCATATAGGAGTTGAGTATGTTATGTTAGATTTTAAAAAACCAAAAGGAATTAGAATAAGCTACGGGAAACTAACGAGAGAGGGTTTCGATATCTAAGGTGGATGAGTGTTGATGTCCCTGTACGGAGATGCGAGAGACTTGATTGGCAGGTGGGAGTCACGAAAAGGGTAGACCCAGGAATATTTGAAACTAGGTAATTAGTCAGAATCTAAAACTTCTTATCCTTACTGAAGGTATGACCTTAGATAGAAGGGTCTAAAGAGCTTAGATTAAGATGTTTGGACAAGTGCTCTGGACTTAGTGGTAGGGGTGTAAACGAATCGAATCGAAGCGAATACTGATATATTTGAATTTTTATTTGTTTAGTTTTTTCGAATACGAATCCGAATTCGAATATGAGACGAATTCAAAATAAGATTTGAATAAATATTTGATTAATATTCGAATAGTTATCGAATGATAAACGAATATTTGAATAATCATACTATGTAATTTATATGATGGACCAACATCAATTTGTAATTTAACTTACGATACTTTTTATACTATACTATATTCCCTATATAAAAACATTAATACATTTGCATCTTACACAAATTATATTTTATAAAATATAATTATTAAAAATCATATGCTTTAGATTTTTGTGTTACGTTAATTTATTAAATTCTTAATATTTTAAATACACTTGATACTACTCCGTATATTACTTTGCTTGACTTTTGATGTTGAAAACATGGTCTGTGTATATATGCATATATTCGAATATTCGAATATCATCCGAATCGAATATATCCTTATTTGTATTTGTATTTGATTAATATTCGAATCAAAAATAATATTTGAATTTGAATTTGTATTTGAATAACGCGAATTCGAATAATCATATTCCAATACAAATCGCGAATCGAATTTAAAATATTTGATTTGTTTACATCCCTACTTAGTGGTAGTTTCTCCCATTGTTGTGTGTTTTGTTTAGTCTATATGTTTGGTGCTCTTTGCATGCCATGTGCTTTTTGCTATCTCAGATACATACTTCATTCGTCCCAAATTTGATTGCAAACTTTTTTTTTCTTCTCTCGATAACCTTTTACTATTTATTTTTGTGTTTTTATTGATTATTTGATAAAATAAAAAAAATACAGATGATAATGATACTCCATAATACTCCATATTTGATAAGTTTTGATAAAATAAAAAAAATAAGAGACAATTTTTGAAGTGATATCATTACAGGATTTTGGAACCAAACATATTTTAGGATCACTATAAATGCTCTTAGATTAGGCCCTCCATAGTAGACTAGTAGGCATGCCGGAACCACCATACTACCCTACTATTATTTCCTACAGATGATAATGATACTCCATAATAGCGTCGTTGAACCCAACCATTCGTGCAATACATGCAAATCAATCACTTTATACTAGAGCTGGCAAATCGGTCGGTCAGGTCGGGTTCGGGTTCAGTCACTTCAAGTTCGGATTATTTCGGGTTCAGGTCAATTCGGGTTCGGGTTGAGAACTGTATGTTCATGACCCAGTATCGTCGGGTTCGGGTCGACCCAACGGGTTATAACTTTGATTTTTAAAATTTTTAAATTCACATTACCACTTACATTTTCTATTAAATAAATTTAAAATATCAAAAATATGTATTAAATCTATAAAATTGATTTATTTTAAACTCTGAAGTAATTTTTTAGATATATAAATCAATATAAAGAATTTAAAAATGCAAGTTTTGGAAAAAAGTAAGATAATTATGCAATATCATTAAAATTTTCTCTGCAAATATAAATTTGTACACTAAAAATGAGTAGTAAAGTGTATGATTTTGAAAAATTCTTACTTTAGCGGGTCGGTCAGGTCGGGTTCGGGTTCGGTCGGGTTTGACCCATTTTTAGCGGGTCATTTCGGGTTCGGTCAACTTCGGGTTCGGTCATCAAAACCATTGTTCAAAACGCAGTGTTTTCAGGTCGGGTTTCGGGTCAAAAACAGGTCGGGTCATTTTTTGCCAGGTCTACTTTATACCCTTTACCCCCCTAACCCCACCCTAACCTCACCCATGCACCCTCTACCTCCCTCGAAATTTGTGTTTATCGAAAGAATACCGTCTCAAATATTCTAAAATAATTTTAAAATGAGAATTTAAATCATAAATATTAAGTTTGTGGAGTTTGTGATCATTCTGTTTGTGAACGTAGCATTGCTCGTCTTTAAATGTTTACCACATTTTGCAAAACGAGACAAATTTTTAAGTTTTTTAAATTTTCTAATTTAAATATCAGGATGAATATAAAAAATAAAAATTAGATATTTTAAAATTACATGAAAAATTATTCGAAATAATAGATGTCAAGAATATTTCATTTTATCAAATAATCAATGAAAAACGTACAAATAAACAAAAAATATTCTCGTGATTGTTGAAAAATGAAACAAGGTAAACATTTTGGGATAGATGGAGTCACTGCCACCAACCGGTATAAAAGAATATTTTGAATTTCAAAAATGCTAGGGGTAGCTGTATCCCAAGTGTACACCACCATCTCTTCTATTACTACATATTTTGGCATATAAAATAAAAAAAGAAATGAATAACTAAAAATGAGTGAGATGATATCAAATTTTTGTTAATCTCAACATCATGAGTTCAAAAATCGTCATCACCAACTTGATTTTAAAAAAAAAAGTGTAAGACTCAGAGTAAAATTTCTCAGCCAATGCTACGGAGGAGATTGACTGCTGGAAATTGGCAGAAAAGGTCTTCTGAATTTTAAAATCGGAAAGAGTACACTCCCAAAATTCGACCCCCATTTCAATTCACAATGATGTGATTTTTCATTGACCTCAACTTTTCTATGTTACCAAATGTCCAAATGTTGGGTCTTCCATCGGACAAGAATACGGACTATGAAATACTCCTGGTTTACCAAAAGAAATACTCTATCTAACTTTTCAAATCATTTTATTTACAAATTTGTATATCAATAAGATATAAAAATTAAAACAGAAGCAACATGAGGCTATGTTCCGTTTGTCTGATCTGATCCAATTTTTTGAAATTCTGATCTGATTGCATCTGATATAAATTTAATTAAAATTAAAATTAAAATTTTTATTATAATAGCTATAATAATAAAAATAATATAAATATTAATAATAATAGCAATAATACTAATAGTAATAATTACTCCCTCTGTCCCAATTTAAATTGATTGTTTGTTTTTTTTTCCGTCCCAAAATAAATTGTCTGTTAGTTGTTATCGTAAACTTTTAAAAATAAAATATCTAAACTACCCCTAAAATAAGTCACCCTTCTTCACTTTATCTTCTAATTCATAGTCACCTCTTCTAAAAGGTAATGACAATTTCGAAAAATCAATTCTATTTTTTTTCCTTAAAATTGGCCAAAAGTCAAAATAGACAATTTAAAATGAGACGAAAGGAGTATAATAGTAATAAGAATAGTAATACTAATAATAATAAAAATAATAATCTTAATTTTGTTTAGATTTGGTCAATTTTATATGTTTGGATATGCTCTAATTTGATTGAATCTAATCAGATCTAATTGGATTTGATTGAATCTGATTTGATTCTAATAAAAATAAATAATACACAAAAAAATAAGTTGAACAGACACTGTCTACGTATTCCTCTTTTTTACTTTTCCTACACTTTAGTTAAACTTTATAAAACCTAAATGTTTTTTTGTTTGAAATGGAGAAAGTATTGACGATTAGTGAACTAATCTACTGTTTCGACTATTAACATTTTGAATAAGTTTCTAATAAAACGAATAAAATTTAAAATTACTAGGGATAAACATTACTGGTAGTACTGAGAAAATCTATTCAAATGTTTCAAGGGGTTGCCAAACGGGCACAAACTCTTTCAGGGAAACTAGGGAAGGGCTTAGAGCTCATCCCAAACACAAGTATACAACACGTCAGCACCCTTTATTTTGAAAAAAATACGTGTCTGCCAGCAATGGGGGGNCAAAAACATAAAATGCAAATTTCAAAAACATATCATATCTCATGCATTTTTCTTCACTTCAGCGGACTTGATGATGTCAATGAACTCCGGCTGCATATATAAAGAAAAATAAATGTAAGAAAGTCGATTTTAATACTTTATGGCATTGCTTGGAAACGATGATTTCATTTGGTGTTTTGAATATTCTTTAAATTGATGCAGATTGATTATGAAAATGCTAAAACTAAATGCTACTATTAGAAACAAAACCCTAGAGCTGTTGACAAATTGTGGCCCTTTTTACATTTTCTACTCCCGTTTCAAAAGGCTTTACCCAAATTGACAGACTTTCACGAGAGTTTAAGAAAAAATGTTGAAAATTAAAAAGTGTATTGTTAGTATGGAGATATTGGGAGGTTATAAGAGCTTTTGATTGGATAGCAAAGTACCTTGAGAGAAGCTCCTCCTACCAAGAACCCATCCACATCGGGCTTTGCAGCCAATTCCTTACAATTTGCACCACTAACCGATCCTGAAAAAAAAATTGGGGAAAACGTGTTTAGTCTTAATAAAAAGTGGACTAATACTTCGCATGTTACAAGGCACATGACTATTAGGTGACTTCTACTTATGATCCCGGCCTTCATTGTACACGCTTTTGGTGTAAAACTAATAATTGTGTACGATTGCCACTCTTGGTCTTTCTGATCACACTTTTCTTACAAATTTCCAACTAATCTTTACGAGATATGTGATAATAAAAGGACCCAAAAGTGGCTAGAAATCTATAGTTAAGCACCAAAAGTAGATGATATAAACCTCACAACCACAAGAACTACCTAATTTTCATGGGACCAAAAATTGTATGTTTTCTACAAAACAAGCTCATGAATCACAGCAAGACAGCTACATGCTCCATTAGAGGAACGTAGCCAAAGACCATGACCCTAAGACAGAACCCAGACGCACAGGCTAACACCAGAAGATCTCGCAGCAGAGGGGTTGACTTAGCCGACCAAAGTCTATAACATGCTGTGGGTTGAAACCATCTTTGCAAGGCCATCCCCTGTACAAGCTGAATCCCAAAGGGTATCCTTGTCATAACTGAAGCACTAGCCTGTGCCTACATATATCCCGCCACCTGAGCCAGCAAGCCGATACCTTGGGCTAGACCCATATATACATAATCACTTTGTATTTTATCAAAACAGAGGAAGATTGGTATACTTTCGCACATGTACAGAGTATCCAAAAGACCTGAACTCCTGAGATAAGAATTCGAAGTGATGTGAAGTATTGTGACAAAATATTTACCTCCATAGATGATCCTAGTTGAGGAAGCCACCTCAGAACTCACATTTGATTCAAGCCATTTCCTCAGTTCAGCATGTACCTGTTATGCAAACTTCAATTTTATAAACCCAGGATTCCTAAAAAATGCAAGTTTCAATTTAAATTAAAAAAAAAAAGAATCATCTCTCTTGAGAACCATAAATATGCCTTTTTTCCTCCAACACAAATAAGATGAATCTTCTCATTGACAATCAAAATCCAATCTACAGAATGTCTTAAAATGGTGTTCATCTAATTATATGTGACCTAACTTTAATCTCGCCAAATACCAAGCACTTCCCTTAAAAAAAAGTACTCCGTACAATATAGCCCCTCACAATCGGGTCTGGGGATGAACACATGTACACAGACATTGGCCCTACCAAAAGTGATCAAGATGTTTTTGATAGACACTCACCCCAAGAAAACATAGAAAAATGATAGTGCCTTACAACCCGTAATTAAAAAAAATGCTATTGATTATTTTTAAACGATCCACAAAAAAATTCTAGATAATTGCAGACCAATATGCGTCAAGGGCTTTCCCAGCAAACGAATATGGAGTATCTTCTTGTAGCCACTAATCCCACTACATATGATATCTGCTCATGATAGGACACACCTAAGATCTACCTAAATAGAGATCCAATGAAATATTACTGAGCACTCGAAACCATCAGACTTAAAAGCTAAACATGTTTATATACTTCGTCCATTCCGAAATAAACTTCACACTTTCTTTTTTTGACAGTCCATACCAAAATAAACTTTACACTATTTTTTCTATTAAAGAATGAAACTCTGGTTGACAAGATTTCTCTCCTTTAAACAAATTTCAATCAAACACTTCTTTCACTTTTCAACAATTTTCTTAAACTTCCGTAAAGTCAAGCCATGAAGTAAATTTAGGGAAGTCCAAAGCAACAAAACATGATTTCTACTATATGGTTTCATTATTGCATTCATGCAAAACACGGAGTACCATTTAGTAAACATATGCACCTATGCACCCAAATGTTTAAACCAATTTTCAAGAAAATCGAGCACCTCAGAGAAAAGGGAAAATGCATCCGATTATTGAGAATCAACCAGTTCTAGTGCAAACATTTAAAATAACATAACAGAAAAAAATTTGAACTTACTTCTTGGGCCTGAGCTGGTGTGGCAACCTTTCCAGTTCCAATGGCCCAAACTGGCTCATAGGCTATGACAACTTTAGACCAATCAGATACTTTATCTGCAATTAAAGATATGATACAAATATGAACTGAAAGACTACACAGCAAGTTGTGGTTATTGCAGTCATCTTTATATGAAAATTAGACATTCAGACCAACTGAACGCTTATAAAATTGTTAACTCAAAACATGCTAATATAGCAAGTGTGCAGATGTGCACAGTTTTTAAAACTGATGGTAAGTTATATGTTGGGAAACCAAGTCCTTCTGGAAAGCAAACAAATAATGCATTTACTACCGGTGTTGCATATAATAGGCACAAACAGATAGACAAACGTGAATTGAGTTATCACATAAAAAATGAGAGATTATAAGAAAAAATGCTACTGGAAGAACATGGTAAGTGCCTTCGTAATTTATGTTTCATAAGCCCCTTTTGACTCTGAAAAACTGGCATCCCATTAAAAACTAGTGAACTAGAACTGAAAGAGTCATCGTACAAGATATATTATCAACTATTATGAAAACGAGTCGGTGAGTCGACGTGTATATAGAGGGATGAAGAGCACCATTGTTTTTATGTATTCATTAGGAGTCAAAGTACCTGCAATTGCCTTTGTTTGTGCAGCAACAACATCCATGGTAGTTCCTGCTTCTCTCTGTTCAAGTGTTTCTCCAACACAGGCAATGACCTTCAAACCTTGAGAGAGAGCATACGCTACTTTGTCCCCAACAAACTGACATTGATTATTTGGTCATTTACCCAATTAAATTATAAATAAGCATGAGAAAACAAAATGTTCTTCACACTTGAAATAGATTACCTCATTTGATTCGCCCAAGATAAGTCTTCTTTCTGAGTGACCTAGAATGACCCAAGGGATATCCAGGTTGACAAGCATTTCGGCACTATAAACAAAAAATAAATATAATCAATGTGAGTAGATTATAAAATTGTAATCAGAAAAATAAAAGAAACCATTTGCCATCTGCACATATCTGATACAAATTACAAGAGGTCATATCAACACACAAAATAATTAAACAAACAAAATATTCTGTATAAAAAAGTATGAGTATGATAACATGACAAAAGACACCATCATAAACGAGCAATCAAAAGCTCCACCTAAGGTCTCATACCTAATCTCACCGGTGAAAGCACCACCTTTTTTAATCCAACAATTTTGGGCAGCCACAAGGAAATCAGGTCGAAGAGAACTCTTTGCTAATGGAAGAAACACAAACGGGGGGCTTACAACAACCTCTGCAAAACAATGGGGTTAGCGTGAGTCAAACAGCTAGGGAATACAGTCAGAAGCAAGAACACTCACTATAGAAATATTCTTGTTCAAATAAAGTAAAAAAAAACTATGAATATATCTACCATTCACTATTAATACCACTTTCAGCATTACTATGAGTGGAAAGAGAAAACATCCTTACTTCCACTCTTCTATAGCAAAACAAAGCTATACGACTTAAAACAACAAAAAGGCTGGATCACCTAATAGCCTAAATTTTTAGGCAGCAGAAAGATTAGAAATGTCAAACAAAAGCATATTACAGGTTCAAATTTTGTCCATTACACTGTTTAGAAAATACAACCATTTTGGACAAAGAAAACCATGAAAAAATCATAATGAAGGTTTTTGAAATCCATGCAATCTCAGTACAGAGAACATTTACCAACAACATCCTGAGGCGGCACTTCGCCTGCATTGAGTGTTGAGACAATCTTCTTCACCTCTTCACTCGTTCCATTCTGCAGTTGATCATCACAAAACAAAACCAGATTTCAGAGTAATAACAAAGGCCCGTAATTAGAATTGATCCATAATCATAACACATAACCATCAAACAAAGGATCAAAACTTCACATCAATAAACACATGTAGCGCATATATAAGCGAAATCAAGATCTACATCGTTCGAATAGACTAATCAGTAATAACATTGAACTTTGCCTCCAAAAGACAAGTGATTGCTACCGAACGTCTAGATAATGCAATGATATATGCGCCTATAGATAGGACAAGCTAAACAACTACCAGAGCAAACCGGATTTCAAATACAGATCGGAAAAGATCAGCAGGTGCAAATGGTAACGGGAACTCACGCATTTCCAGTTACCGCCGACGAAGAATTTCCGGCCCATATCCGATGAGGAAGACGGCGTCTGCTACAAGATTGCTCTGCAAGAAAAAGGGTGGAGAGAAAATCTATGCAACGATCTCTAATTTGTGGATCAAATGAGGATTATAAAGGGATAATAATAATACTAGGATACTCCCTTCCTAAAATAAAAAAAAATACTCCGTACGGAGTAGTATTAAAACAATTATGCTTTCCTCCCCAAAACTTTTCTCATTTTCATTTTCTTCCCAAACCCTACTTCTTGGATTGATATTGCTGGTGTTCAATTGTTTTTTTTTCTTTTAAAACACTATTTTTTATTAAAATATGGAATACTTCTTTTTATTTTAAAAAAAATTGATACTCACTTCTTTATTTATAACGTCTTTTCACCATTTTTCTTAATAAGTTTTAATGGTAATTTGACTAAATAAAAAAAATGCATTTTTTTATATAATTTTTCATATTAATTATATAAGTTTATTGTGAAAGGCTTTGTGTTCCAGCAATATTACTGTGACTATTCCAACGAGAGATCACATGTTCAAACTGTGCTTTAATAGGTTGGCAAAAAATTACTCCAAATACAGCAACAATAGTTCAGTTGAATCCCACAAAAGGATAATTGAGAGTGTGTGTACAAACTTATCAGTACTCGAAAGTATAGATTTGTTTTTAAAAAGACATTCAGCTCAAGCATCACATGTAATCATCTACACAAACCGGCTCCCATTTTAAAAAACATAAAACGGTTGTCTTTGAATAACCTAAAATCAAGGTTGATAGTTCCATTGAGTAACTATTGATTCACTATCAAAATAAGTATACTCAATTTAAAATGTCATTTTACTTTTGATGGATTAGGGATTTTTCCTAATCCAATATTATTTGAACAGTACAAGAAAGCCCAATTTTATATGGTCCAAGATATAAATCAGGTTAATTATTCAAGACAGAACCAGAGATATATGGACATAAGAATATATTTGAAGTGATGTGGAGACATTTGGCGGGACCCGTGGAACACTATCACATGGGAACCACATGCTGCACATGGGCTTCACATGGACAATGTCTCCTCTTGTCTCCATCAATTATTTCCTTCTCCTCTTTAAATGCATGCTACGAAGGAGGGAAGAGAGAAGCCAATTTCCTACTAGTTCTACTATTATTCTTCATTCTTCTCCTTCTCTTAGCATGGAGCTCCATTAATGGCTCCAAGCTCCTACAGTGATGTATATGTAAATTCCCCCGAGATTTAATAAAAGTTCCTCCCCTTTGGCATGGCACCGCCTAAAAAGGCCCGTGGTTTTCTCCCGATTTGGGTTTCCACGTATAAATACTTTCTCTCCGCTTTATTTATTTATTTAATTTCCGGATTTCGCTATTCGGTGCGGTGCCGACCCGGTACCGATTTCATCGGGTCGGCGCCCCGAAAAAGCGGTTTCCATCACTGGCGCCGATCGTGGGACCGGCCACAAAAAAATTTTGTGCTCCGAGTCTGTAATGGAGAAAAAAAAAGTGAAAGAGAGAAAGTAAAAAAAAAGAGAGAAATAAATTAAAAATGGGAGACAGCGGGTCAAAAAAAGGAGGAAAGAAATAGGAAAAGTGGTGGTCTTCCTCCTCTTCGTAGGCCATCAGATCTGGAGCAGTGAATCAGTTGGTGAACTTCAAGCGAGTAATTGGCAACGACAGAGAGCCCCCAATCCAATGAATTTCATCTGTGGCGAGTTCCTTCTTATTCCGGCGAGCCACGGACGACAGCCGCGGGTCTTCGAGGAACTCCTCCTTCCTCCGGCGAGCCACGGACAGCAGCCGCGAGCCTCCGGTGAACTCCTCTAATCCCGGTCTTCTCCAGCGAGCCTTTAGAGAGCCTCTCTCCGGTGAGCTTAGATCCGTGACCGCTTGGAGATCTGGCTAAGTCATAACCGGCGACAAGCTTCGACGAGCCCTTGGCGACCGCGGCCAGCATGGCGGTCCAGTAGACAAGAGACTCCTCTAGCTCCGGCAAATCCTCCCTCCGCCGCCGAGCCGCGGACCGCAGGGATCTTTCCGGCGAGGAGCGAGCACGCGATAGGGGGACGCCGGCAGTACCCTCCATTAGGGTCGGTGAGTATCCTCCCAGACCGGCGAGCCCTCTAGCGTGCTTCATCTCTGGCGGTATCGAGCGTCGAGCCATACCACTATCAATTGTCCACACCGGCGAAACTTGGCCCGGAAGAAGCGAGCTCCCACTTCCTCCGACGAGCCACGGATAGCAGCGGCAGCCTTACGACGAGCTCCCACATTTTCCGGCGAGCCGCGGATGGCAGCGGCCGCGATTGCTCTTGTTCGTCCATCAAGCTCCCTTTGCTCCGGTGAGCCTCATCGACAACAAGCGGGCCTTAATCTTCGACGAGATCCAGCTAGCTCCGATTTCCTCCGCCGAACCATGGACGGAAGTGGCGGGCCCCTCTCCGTGGTCCTCTCTGGCGGTCCTTTCCGCGGTCCTCTCCGGCGGTCCTTTCCGCGGTCCTCTCCAGCGGTCCTCTCTGCGGTCCTCTCCGGCGGTCCTCTCCGCAGTCCTTTCCGACGGTCCTCTATGTGGTCCTCTCCATCAGTCCTCTACGCGGTCCTCTTTAGCAAGCCATGGATGGATATATCCTCAAGAGGACCGCTCCAGCTTTAGAGGTCCCAAAATTGGACAGATTTATCCTCCAATGGACCACTCCAGCTTCACGGGTCCCTCAAATGGACGGATTTTGCCTCAAGTGGACCGCTCCATCCTCATAGGTCCTTCACATGGACGGATTTTGCCTCAAGTGAACCGCTCCATCTTCATATGTCCTTCACATGGACAGATTTAGCTTCCTGTGGACCGCTCCATCCTCATATGTCCTTCCCATGGACAGATTTGGCCTCCAATGGACCGCTTCATCTTCATGGCTCCTTCACATGGACAGATTTAGCTTCCTGTGGACCGCTCCATCCTCATTAGTCCTTCCCATTGACAGATTTGGCCTCCAATGGACCGCTCCATCTTCATGGCTCCTTCACATGGACGGATTTGGCTTCTAGTGGACCGCTCCATCTTCATAGGTCTTTCACATGGACAGATTTAGCCTCTAGTGGACCGCTCCATCTTCATAGGTCCTTCACATGGACGGATCAAGCCTCAGGTGGTCCGTTCCGAGTTGTATAAGTTGATAAAAGTAATAATGTAAAAGAATAGAAAGTAGAGATCAGTAATTAGATCAAGTTAAGTGATCGGATTACTGGAGATAGTCATAGACTCCCGTACCGAGGTTGAGGAAAGATAGGATAAGGAAAAGGATTGGGGCTTAAGGATGGGCTGAAGCCCAGCCCATTAAGAACAAGCTACCCAAAAGGAAGGAATCCTATAAAGAGATTAGAGTAGGCCCCCCCTCAGTTCGAGGGACAGGGACGAAGAGAAAGGTGGACGGAGATTGTCTATAATTCAATAAGAGTGGAGCGCCCAACCACCGTCAGATAGACATCGGGTGGGGGTTTAGAGGCTCCCAAAGAATATTGAAAAAAGAGCCCCAAGAAAAGCCCTCTTCCCAGAGGCAACGAATCCCTGAGAGAAGTCCTCTACCAAGAGGTACCGAGCTCCGAGAAAATTCCTCTTCCCCGAGGCACCAAGTTCTCTTCCAAAGAGGAACAAAGTCCCGAGAAAGTCCTCTTCTAAAGAGGCACAAAGTCCCGAGAAGGTCCTCTTCCAAAGAGGCACAATGTCCCGAGAAGATCCTCTTCCAAAGAGGCACAAAGTCCCGAGAAGGTACACTTCTAAAGAGGCACAAAGTCCCGAGAAAGTCCTCTTCCAAAGAGACACAAAGTCCCGAGAAGGTCCTCTTCTAAAGAGGCACAAAGTCCCGAGAAAGTCTTCTTCTAAAGAGGCAGAAGGTCCCAAGAAAGTCCTCTTCCAAAGAGGCACAAAGTCCTGAGAAGGTCTTCTTCTAAAGAGTCACAAATCCCTGAGAAAAGTCTTCTTCCAAGAGGCACCAAATCTCCGAGAAAAGTCCTCTTTCGAGAGACACTAAGTTAAATCCTTACCCACGAGGTAACGAGACCCTAAAAAAAAGAAGGTCCTCTTGTCGAGGTTCCAAGAAAAGTTTTATCCCATGAGGCAACCCACTGAGTCATATAGTTCTGAATCTGTCTCGTTCCCCGAGACAGACTCAAAACTAGGGGGCATGTGATGGATTAGAGATTTTTCCTAATCCAATATTATTTGAACAGTACAAGAAAGCCCAATTTTATATGGTCCAAGATATAAATCAGGTTAATTATTCAAGACAGAACCAGAGATATATGGACATAAGAATATATTTGAAGTGATGTGGAGACATTTGGCGGGACCCGTGGAACACTATCACATGGAAACCACATGCTGCACATGGGCTTCACATGGACAATGTCTCCTTTTGTCTCCATCAATTATTTCCTTCTCCTCTTTAAATGCATGCTACGAAGGAGGGAAGAGAGAAGCCAATTTCCTACTAGTTCTACTATTATTCTTCATTCTTCTCCTTCTCTTAGCATGGAGCTCCATTAATGGCTCCAAGCTCCTACAGTGATGTATATGTAAATTCCCCCGAGATTTAATAAAAGTTTCTCCCCTTTGGCATGGCACCGCCTAAAAAGGCCTGTGGTTTTCTCCCGATTTAGGTTTCCACGTATAAATACTTTCTCTCCGCTTTATTTATTTATTTAATTTCCGGATTTCGCTATTCGGTGCGGTGCCGACCCGGTACCGATTTCATCGGGTCGGCGCCCCGAAAATCACAATTTTGGGTTTCCACGTATAAATACTTTCTCTCCGTATGTCATAGTATGTCATATATTATGACATACGGAGTAGTTATTAATGATAAAAAATATAAAAATTATTTATTATACATCAATTTCTAAATAAGTTTAACTTATCATTCTATTGTGTCATTTAAGATAGAGATATTTTTACGTTGACTTTTCAAAAATACTCTTAATGTAATAAATAAAAGTAGGATGTGATGTATAAATTTTTACTAAAAAAGGCATGGTGTAATATGTAGGTTAAAAATTAGCAAAGGTAAGATTGATTTTTTAATAAAAATGAGAAGGATTTTATGGAACAAGTAAAAAA